ATTTTTAATTAAATAATTAGTAAATAAAAGAAATCATTTTTAATTTAATATAATATAATTATCTATTTAAATATTTATATGATTTAATTTATAACTTATTATTGATCACTAATTTAATATTAAGTTTAATCAACACTATATTATATTTTTATATTAAAAATTTAACTAATTATATTTCTTTAATATAGATTAATTAGAAACCTATTGTAAAGTAATAGTCTACAAATTAATATATTTAACTTATAAAATTATATAAGATAAATAAAATAAAAGTCTTACTTATATTTTTCAAATATTGCTTATGATTTTTGTTATTTTAGATAAATAATAATATATTATTATTATAATTTTTTATTTTTTTATATATATATTATTTTTTTTATATATAGTTCTGAATATAAGTAATCTACTTATCATTTTTTTCTAAATCACTTGATAACATTTAATAAAATTTTTTTAATTTTTGATAGTAATACTAATCATGATTATCTATAAAATTTAAAGTTCATATAATATATAAATAGAGAATTAGATGATTGATAAACTTTATGTTTTGAAAATAGTACTTTCTCTCTATAACCATTATGAATAAATTTTTTTATATGAATACCTAGTAGGATTAAAGTAATGATATCAAAAAATAGCTTTTTATATATACGTTATGATAAAAAAACTGTAATTTATTAGGTTAAAAAATTCAAAGAAAATAAAGATTTAATAGATAAAAAAAGATTAGTCATTCATAAAGTATAAATATAGTATAAGACAAATAAATTATACGAATAACAAAGAATAAATATGATATAACTAACTAGAAAATTTAGTATAAACTTGAAAAATAAGGCATTGAGATTAGTTTAAGAATAATTAAGTAGCATCTTAACAAATCTGATAAAAAATTTTTAAAAGAGATTCATAAGCTATTGCTTTCAGTAAAGCATCAGGCTAAACATTTAAAATAGACAAAAATTCATAAAAATTTTGATTAGAATTATATTATTTTTACAGAAGAAAGTACTTTTTAACTATTCTAATCAAAATAAAAAGGTTTGGCATTTTGTTAAAAGGCAAAAAGTATTCTGTACAGTTAAACATTCTCAGAAGGTTCATATTTGAGGCTGTTTTTCTTAATTTATATGTAAAATCTATAAAAAGGATTTTTTAGACTTAGGTTATAAAATTTTTGATAAAGAAAACTTAGGGTAGTTTTTGTAAGAGGATAAAGATCTCAAATATCATTTAAAAATTTGCAAGGAATAAAAAGAAAAATATGATATAGTTGAACTTCTCTAACCATCTATATCATCTGATCAAAATCCCATAAAAAATGTGTAGTAACTTATGAAATGCAAAGTTTTAAAAAAAATTTATATAACTAAAGGATTAAAGTAGAAAATAACAAAAATATAGAATAATTTCTCAGATTAATTAATTAGTTATTAATTTTATTGATAACATAAAAAGAAGGATTATAATATTATTAGAAGTTAAGAAAGATTATACTATGTATTAATCATTAGAAGTTATCCTCTACTTTATAATAATAAAAAAAATTTTTTTATTACATATATTTTTTTTACAAATGATAGAAAATTAGTTACTTATATTTAGAACTATTTATATAATATATTTTTTCTAGTAAAAAGAATCAATTACAAAAAAATAATTAAATTTAACTTCTAAAAATTTCAAATATATTAATATATTTAAAAATTTAGATTTGTAAACTTAAATAATAAAATATAATTAGTATAATTATATTTTAATTTTAATAATAATAATAAATAATTATATTTATTTTTAATAGTAATAATAAATATTTATTTTTATTTTTAAAAATAATAATAAAATCTTAAAATTAATTTTTTATATATTATAATAATATTTTAAATTATTAGATTAGTCAGATCAGAATAAAATTAAAATCTGATTTAATAATAAATTATAAATTTAAGACTTGATTTAAATATTTTAGGTTAATTTAATAGGTTATTTAAATTGATTTTATCTTTTATAGTAAAAAAATAAACTATAAATTAAATATGATTTTTTTTTAGTAAAGTAAATTCAAATTTAATATTAATTCAAAAAAAAAATTTTTTAAAATTTCTTTCTTTTTTTATCATAAAATATTTATATATAAAGTATAATATATAAAAATAGTAATAAGATTTTATTAATAAAAAAATTTTTTAATTTTAAAAATATTTGAAATATAAAAAAAAATATTATATAAAGCAATAAATAAATATTATTTTATAGATGAATCTAATTGTAACAATATATTATACATCTTATTTGTAACAACTTTAATTTTATTCAATCAAAATTTAAAATCAGGTGTAATGTAAATAATTTAGCAAAAAAATTTTTTTTTAAAAATTTCAAGAAACTGTTATAACTTAAAATTTTTTCTATGAAACTGCTTTTGCACATTAAGTAAAAATTTTTCAAATTAAATTTTATATATAAAAATTTTATTTATAAAATATTTAGAATAATTTATTATTAAGAAAAATAAAAAAAGATGTTATAAATAAGATATGTAACAAAGTTTTTACAAATACATTTTTTCTTATTTTATATATTTTATATATATTATATAATAATAAACTATTATTATTAAATAAATTATAAATATTTATATAAAATATAAGATTAATATTTAAATATTAATAATAAATAAATTATTATTATACAAAACTTTAAATTTAAATATATAATAAAGTAATCAAAATTATTTTAGATTAATTTAAATTTAATCAAAAATTAAATATCATTAAGAATTAACTAAAATTCAATCAATTTATTTATAATAATTATTAATTAAATTAAATGATAAATTCAAATATAACTAATTTTTATCAAAAAATTATAATTAATATATTTCAAATATTATTGATGAATTTATTATTATAATATAATTTGTTTATATATTTATCTATTTATTTATTATTTATATTAAAATTATTGCAAAAAAATTTTCTTTTTTGACATTTTATGTAATTAATATAAAAATATCACCTTTGATAGTTTAATTAAAACAAATATGAAATTACTTGAATATCAATTTTATTAAAGTTAGTTAATTTTGTATTTGTAAAATAAATATCATTTTTCATATATTAATAATATACGAATAAATTTTTTATGCTATTTAATAACATTTTTTATAAATTAAATAAAAATTATATAATATTATTGAGATTAAATTTAGATCAATTTTTAGATTAATTTAGCTGATTTTATAGAATGAATTGATGTTAAATTGTTTCTAACTTAAATCAATCATATTAATTAATACCAATAAAAATCAAATAATTTACCAAATATAATATTAAATTAAACTAACTGATTTTTAGAAAATTTGAATAATTTATAAAAAAAAAAGGAAATTTTATTAATTTTAAAGTAAATATTATTTAAAAAAATAATTATTTTAACATTTTTTTTTTATTATAAAATATTTATATTTATTATTAATATTAAATTATTTTAAAATTATATAATAAAATTAATATGTATTTATTAAATAGTTTTATATATTCAGAAAATTTTTTTAGATATAAGTTAATATATAATATTTATATTTATATTATATAGTATGTAAAGTTCAAATAATAAAAATTCAAGTAAAGTAATAATTCTATAAATTTTCAAATTTTATTAATAAAAATAAAATAAATAAAAAAAGTAACAATATTATAAAAGTATAAAAGTATAACTTTTGACATTTACAAAGTAGTTTGAATTATAAATATATTATATATATAATATGGAACCTTTGCAATAGAAATGGGAGAACAATAAAAAATGAGTTAATTTCTAAATTTGAACATATTTTGACCTAAAGATCATATTTGGTATGTAAAAGGAAAATTGATTTTTTTTCCGGCAGTCTCCCCCCTTTCTATTGCAAACTTCCCATATATAAAACTAGTATTAATCTAAATATTGATATAACTAAAAAATTTTTCAATCTAGTATCTATAATATTTATAAAGTACATAATTAACGTTAAACTTAAATTATAAGTTTATTTAAAAATTTAAATTACATCTCTTAAAAACTTTTAATATTAGTTTTGCTAAATGTTTAAGCTTTTAAAACAAGAATTTTTTTTTTTTAATAATCATAAAAATTTTATGATTAAAATTATTATAATAAATATTATTGTAAAGCTAATTAATTTATTACAATAAACATCATCGTTATGATGATGATGATAAATTTGTATACAAAAAAGGGGTAATATTAATCAAGATACGACTTTGATTATTTATAATATAAATAAAAAAAATTGTCTTTTGGTATAATTATGTCATTAAAAATGACTAATTACCCTAGTTTTTCTGAATGACATGAGGTTTGTTTATCCTCAGGCAATAGGAAACCAGCCCTAAAGAACGTATAAACATCAAAAACGACTGATGTACTTAAAATCGGATAAGATTTTTGTTGATATGATGTTGATATTGTTGGCGCAGTAAGCGAGTAGAGGACGATAATCTTCTCTGGGATTTCTCATTGTAATAAGTTTTGAGACTTCAAATTTATCCGTGACGGAATACCAGTTGCAATTGTCCATTTTGAATGACTTTTAGTTAAATCTGCATCATAAGAACGATCGATCCGTCAGAGGTCGAGTCGATCCAAAACGTAAAACTGTTAATTATAGGGAAAGTTTCCGGGAATAAAATTTCTCTTCTTGTTGCATGTCCATGATAATTTCTTCTTTGAGCGGGTATAATGTGTCTCAGCAGTACATCATATTACGGTTCCTTAAAAAAATTTATGCAATTAGAATAAGTCATGTAAATATAGGAACCAGAAATTTTGATCAATATTAATTCTTACTTGAACTTCAACCAAGCCAAACAACTTGTTAGCAATTGGTGCGATCTCATGGTAGTAGTTAGATATTTAATCACGCTTCCTTTTAATAATCGAGTTCATAAACGCTTTTTCAGCAATTGCGATTTGCATTTTTGTTTCCTTTTTCATTTCAAGCCAAATTTTCTCTCGTCTCCTATTCGAAATGTGCAAGTGGTTCGACAATGTGGTTGATATAAGACTGGATGAAAGACAGAGAAAAAAATAAAAGAAAACAAAAGAAATCTTTTTTTAAAAAAAACAAAAAAAAAACAAATGTAAAATTCACAATCTCTTTTCCATATACTAAACTTACTCGTATGAGTTCGCACAATCACTGTTACACCAATTTCGATACATGCGATGTTCTGCTTGCTCCTCCCGGTCATTAATTTCTCTTGCGACTTTGTGCTAAAGCAGCCTGAAAAAAAGATAACGATAACAAAAACATGAGGGATAAGATCCTTCTAGATTCTCTCAACAGAAACACAAAGATAAAACTTCCCAACGTCTCACCTCTCGAGCATTCTATTCCGCAAATTACGTTTCTCGGACTTCTTATTATCAGGTCTTCTTCATCTTGATCGTCTGTCTCCCTTATTTGTTTTCTTATATCCATCCGTCTTCTTTTGTTATTAGTCGCTGGCAGTTAATCCTAACGTAGTCTTCGAATAATATTACATTCGTAGAATAAGCGGACGGTCACTAGTTTTTACTCGTCAACAACCCATTCATACCATCGTATTTATTGAAGACATTCATGCATTTCCAATTGTAATTTCAAAGATTTTGATGAAGATAATAAGCAGCTGTCGTAAAAAAATACGGTTAATATCGGAACAACTTAATTATAACAAAAGATAAATCATTCAGTCAATTAGACAAATTTTTTGCAGCCTGTGGCTAGTACGCGTGATTTAATTATGTCTTAATCAGCATTTACATGGCGAGAAAAAGTCATGATGACGCTTAAAATCATAAACGATTAGTATCTTTCCGTCAATTGGAATAAAAAAAAAAAAACGTAACGACGGGCCATAAGATGTGCAGGTAGTTGCGTGAGTTATTTTCCGCGAGAGAGAGGTCCAAACCGCAGTAGCGCCCGACAGTGCATAATAGCTCCCCTAGTCGTATAACTCCGCCAATCAGCCACGTAAAAAACCATATTAAAAAAAAAATTTCGAACGAAAACCTACCCGAATATTATTTTATTAATCGCGTTCCTTATTTCATCAAACCCCAAATTACTTTTTGACTTTAACATGAGAGGAGAAGGTAAGGACGGCGGCTTTCTTGGATTGATACTAATAATAATAATGCAATGAGCGATATTCATCGGGGGTGTCTAATCAAAACACGATAGGCTGGTCTACTCATAACGGATGTCATAAACGTAAAAAAACAAGAACAGTAAGCAAAAACATGTAATAGTGATTTTTTTTTTTTCTTAAAAAAAAAAAAAAAAAACGTGTCATTAATTGTCGCAGTATTGTGATGTCAACCTTTACACAGCCCGTAACACGAAAATTTACGAGGGTTACACGGCGTGACACTGTTTGCATGAAAATCCAAAAATTTATAAATTTGTGCTTTATTACATTCAAAAATAACTTAAAAGCTTGCTTAATCAGACAAAACTCATCGAGCCACCATGAAACAACCATTAAGTCAAGAAAATTTAAATAAAAAAGTAAAATATTACGGAAGATGTAAAGAATGCAAACAAATGAACACTGCGTTACAATGGTGTCATTCATGCAATTCCAAGAGATTTCAACGAAATTTCGATAATTGGACCAGCGGTAACGCTGATATCGATAAATTCATTCGAAATGTCCAGTTGAAGGCAAAAACGTCATATAAATTATTAGAGTGGATACCTTATCATAAATTTTATGACATTGAGTACATTGCAAAAGGTGGATTTGGAACGGTTTACAGAGCGAAATGGAGAGATGGATATATTCACAGTTGGAATGCGATGAATCATCAATGGAGAAGATTTCAACCTTCATATGTGGCCCTCAAATGCTTGAATAATTCACAAAATGTTACATTTGACTTTATAAATGAAGTACGGTATTAATTTGATTTATCATATTTATTTAGGTTACCCTTGCTAATGTAATAAATTATAATCTCGATCATTTAATTTAGATTACTATGCATAATTACTTAATCGAAGAAGATAATATACAAATCGTTAGATGTTATGGAATAACTCAAGATCCAAGTTCAAAAAATTATGTGATAGTCATGAATTGCGCCGAATACAGAAGTTTACGAAACTATTTAAGTATACATTTGGATTACGAAAAATTTTGGAGCAATAAAATTCAACATTTAAAGGAGATTGCGATGGGGCTTGAAATTATTCATGAAAAAAATTTCATTCACAGAGATTTACATATCGGAAATGTAGTAAAATTTATCACTTACACGGCCATTACGGATATGGGATTATGTAAGCCGGCAGATTACAAAGAAAACAAAGGCACAAATCATAGCGTGTATGGCGTTTTACCTTACACAGCTCCTGAAATTTTGCGAGGACAACATTACACTCAATCTTCTGATATTTACAGTTTTGGTATGATCATGTATGAGGTGGTTTCGGGATTTCCTCCTTATTATGATAAGGCTCATGATGAATCTTTGGCATTAAATATTTGTCAGGGATTAAGACCCCGATTTAATAATATCAAAGTGCCACCATTAATTTTACATTTAAACAAAAGATGTTTGGACGCTAATCCGTTAAATCGTCCAAAGGCGAGTGAAATTAGAGAAATCTTGACCCAATGGGAGAGACATAGTAAAGATAATCGAACGGAATTTTTTCAGCAACTGAAAGAGGCAGAAGATTTTAATAAAAAGTTCTCGATCGGAAGTATACAATCAATCGGCTCGGCCTTCACATATGAAACGCATCCAAAAGCCATATATACAAGCAGGTTACTTCAGTTTAATAGCCTTCCTGAACCAAGAAATGCTGATGATTATTATGAGCATTACGATAACTTATCAAGCATGGAATATTTGGGTAATTGATCATTTCTATCTTCAAAAGCCTTATTTAGATAAAAAAGAACTAATGTTTGATTTTTTTTATATATTAGAATCTGTACAACTCGACCCTTCTCAATTGAACATTAATGATATTAAGCACACATAAAAGTATAAATCATATAAGGTTGCATACTAACATTCCAGAACAGAATTTCATAAGTCTATAGATCGAATTCGCAAAAGTTTTAAATTTCGAATTTCTTTTTTAGCCCGCGTTCATTGTTAAATTATTGAACCGGGATCGAAGACTCCCCATTTACTAATGTCGATCAAAAAATATCTCACGAAAATCCGCACAGTCCTAACTAATTATTTTAATAATTTCGCATTTAACATTTTTTTCAAACCGCCAAACCAACATTCATTTCTTTTTAAGACTTCCTTTCTAAATACGATAATTTATTATTTCACCTTTATAACAAATACGCATATAAATAATATACCTTAAACATATATACATACAATTAATATATCAAAATAATAGCATTAAATATAAACAATCATCTACAGTATATGCAAAAAAAAAATTTTCTTATCCAAAGAAAAAAGATTTTTCGCAAATCGAAATTCAATCAAAAATTTTACAAAGTTCATTACATTGAAATCTAATCGTAACAAATTTTTTGGTCAAAATCGTTCTATTCTCATTCATTTCATCAATGTCCCGATCAATGTATAGTTTACCAAGATTTTTCCATTCCAATAATTTCACATGAGTCTGTCTTAATTGTTCAAGTAGATGTGTCTGCTGTTGTATAGAATTTTGCAGCTCGACTTTAGCTGTATATCCTGTTATCATCGCTACTCCCGTTGCACAAGCAATTGTATTTCCGATATATTTCTGTGAAAAAAAAAAAAACAAACATTTTAATACGTAAGGCAAGTCAAAAAAAAATAATCATTTTTAATAAATGGATAGGATGGCTGATTTACCTTAGCTTTACTGAGACAATCCTTCCGCTTAAGAATGATTCCACCTATAATAACTGCTGCGAATCCGATTGTCCTTTATAAACAAGAGATTTATATTAATGGATTATTTAATTAGAAGAATGAAAAAAAATTTTTTAAAATCCGATTTAATTTCGCTTACATAGCGGCAACATATAATTTGCTTGTTAAACCTTTTTCTTGGTTTTCCAATTTTTCCAATTCCTCATTTATTTGTTTATTAATAATCATAATGAGCCTCATGAAGTCTCCGGCCGTTCCAACAAAGTTTCCGAGTCGTCCTATCAAAAAAAAAAAAAAAAATATTCAAGTCTCTTACGTCCGTATTCATATGCACACATTAAGTTTTTACATCAAGATACTTTACGTTGAAGTCTTTCGTACTTCTCCGTATCAAGTTTATCCTCCAAAAGGATCAAGACATCCATAATGATTTGGTCCATGTTCGTCAAATGAGCCATAAGATGAGATTGTTGTGCGTTCAGGATTTGTTTAAATTTTACATCAGTCTCCAACAGTAACTTATATGAAAGTTGTACTGATCTAAACCCGCTAATCAAATTCCACAATGCAATAATAATTCCAAATTGATAATTTTGTAACTAGAATAAGATCAATTCGATTTTTGTGAAAAATTATTTTCTCAAAAGAAATAAAATAAAATAAAAATTTTGATGCTTACCAAACCTCTTTTATTGATATAACTTTCAACGTGTTTATATAAAACTCTAGTCAAATCGTTGATGACCTGCTCGGGACATAAAATCGCACGATTGACTTTTGTCAAATTGTTGATGACCTTCTCGGAACCTAAAATCGATCGATCGATTTTTTTGAGATCAAAAGGTTTACCAATGAAACATACAATTTCTTGTATTTGACTAAAATATTCAGTTGACAAATCACGATAGGTGACGGACATATCCTTTCTTTGAAATGATTGATGAAATATCTTTTCTAAATCGTAATTCAATAAATGTGGTTCTGTTGAATTAATCCTTTTAGACAATTCTCGAATCTCTCGTTCAAATTCCTCTTCATCTATAATCGGATAAAGTTGTTCAAGTGACGAGGAGGTTGACATGTCCGAAACATAGTCATCGTCAGGTGGCTGTTGTGTGGAAGTTGAGTCAACATTCCGATAAATCGATTTAAAAGTGACGGTATCCGATGCTGCCCAGTCAGCAAGTCCGTTTTCGGATATATGAAAAAACTTTGCCGCGGCATTTTTCATGTGTTTAATCAAATCCGTAGGGGTTTGACCCTTATATTGAAACTTAACCTAATAAAAAGATTTTAATTTTAAAATTTTTTTTTTTAAAAAAAAAAAAGAGCTCACAAACTTTACCTTTGCAGATTTTCCATTATATTCGCAAACATTTAAATCATAAGAATTTCTTTCGGAGGGAGGAAAGATTGAATTAATCACATAATTCACGTCAATGGGTCCCTAATCGAAATTTTTTTTTTTTTTCCCAAAAAAAGAGTGAAACGATTGTGAATGCTGCGGCAACGAGGTCAACTGCGGCAAACCCGAGAGCACATTGATTCAATCAGTATAAATATATACCTTTAATTTAAAAATCTTGAAGCAAGAAAATCTTTGATTTCCTTGTTCATTCCCGTCCTCAATACAAACTAGTTCATTATTATGTACAAATGCGAGTGGTTGTATATTGATGTTGTCAATAGTATCTGTCATTTCCAGAAATGGTAAACTATACTTGGTATCGTATAATGTTATTTATGTATATCAATGAGAAAATAAAAAGGATGAAAAAAAAAAATGTATATATATATTATTCAACAAGTTTTTTTTTGATTCTTATATCCGAAAAAAAATTCAAAAAAAAAAAAATTGAATCCCTTAGAAGGACTTGAATATGTATTTATATCGTTACACTCGGAAAACAATTGAACAAGCCAATTAGGCCAAAAATGGTTTCATTTCCGTATCCATGAGACAATAACAAGAATTATGCGATGCGATTAAAAAATCAAACATCATGGCGCAGCAACGTTCATTTTGTGGGAAAATGGATGATCTTTTTTTTTTTTGACACCCAAAACATAACGATGGGGAGTCGGATTCGTTTTTCAATGAATTCAATAGAGATAACAGGATGTTAATTGGGAATCGGTCCGTAACCTTAAAAATGTGAGATTCGCTTGAGAAAAAAAAGTTTTTTTTTTTAATGATTGTTTATGTATTTAAAGTTTTCCTATCCATATAATTCCTATCTATATCATATTATCGCGGTTGAATACGAGATCTTTACATGGGATTCTGCAAATTAAACTGATTCTGGAAAGTCGTTTAATCTAATTTGAGCGATCATTCGTTCCATGGGAATTTTTTTGCCAAGGAGACTAACTATATGTTGCTTCTTTTTGTTTCCTTTTTAAAAAAAAAAATATTTATTTTTTTTTTTTTGGAAAATTTGTCACCAAAAGGTATTATTCATTTTAAAACATTCAGTTTGTATCAGTTTTTCACCTTAATAAATAACAAGAAAGAAAAAAACAAAAAAAAAAAAAAAAAGCACATTCTCCAATCACGTGAATCGAACGATTCAAACACCCTTTTTAGCTAATTCGAGAATACAAGTCTACAATGTCCTTGAAATTTTCTTGATAAAGAGAAGACGGAATGGGCGACTTAATGTAAATGACCCTTAACTAAAAATGTGTGTCTTGATAAAAGGCGTATAAAAAAAAAAGAATGTTCCATGGGTTGAAAAAAGATGGATTCAAAGCGCAACACAAAAAAAAAAAATTATTTCATTAATAATGATCTTCGTCAATAACGGAATCATGTATGAAAAAAAGATTTAGTAAAAGTGAACAAATATTTTGGGGGGTGAATGAAAAAAAAAAAAAAGAAAAAAGGGAAATCAAAATAAAAATAAAATCCAATACATTATTATTTATTAAATATTATTTTTATTTTTTTTTTTTTATTTGGGTTCATAAATGAAAATATTTGTATTGTTTGAATAAATTATATAAAAGAATTTATAACCAAATTTGGGTAAACAAATTTTTTTCTAAAATGATACGAAACGTTATTTAAAATTAAAATTATTTTTATTTTGTATAAACAAATCAACAGTGACGATAGATTGCATACCGTTTTAACTTATCCAATGCAATCACCTGGGATATTTATTTATACATATAAATGTATGATATGCAAGCCCTTTTGATTATAATTTATTATTACTATCCTACAAAAATTGTCAAACTGCATTATGATTTACATATGATCTATTACCATATAAATTGATTCAATAATTCTTTATATATATAAAAAAAAATTATGTATCTCGAAAAATTTTTCAGTTGAAATTTAATAAATTTTCTCCACTTTTTTTTTTTTTTTCACTTGACATCTCACATTTTTATCTTTTAAATAAGAAAAAAAAAAATTTATACATAAAAAGTTTTAAGGAATTATAAAATAATCGAAAAGCCTTAAAGATGATGCACGTTCACCCTTATTATAATTTGAATTCGTTTGATCTATGCTTTGGAGGTGATATAATTAATTAATTCCTTCGTCTTAAATTTTTATAAAAAAAAAAAAAAAGAATTTTTTTTATCCCTCTTTCCTTTTTAAAAGTGAAAAATATTTTAACGAAAGAAAAAAAATTTTTTTTTTATTCATTTTCGCTTGTAAAAAAAAAAAAAAAAATAGTAGGTGAAAATTCACCATTCGTTCAGCCACAAGATTTCACGTTACAACAACAACAAAACTGGAATTTATATAATCAATTAATAGATCCATCCATGATCGAGAATAATTACGTTACCTTGGACGCTCTCGCCCCAATTGATCAAAATTATGCTCAACCCAATTACGACTTTCAGGATCAAACGAAAAAATGCAATCACGTTTATTCCAAATTCACAATTCCTTCAATCACCTCGATCATATCCCAACCTTCATCAATAACGGATAGTCTCAACGTTACGAATTTCATAATAGATCAAGTTTTACATCAACAATCATCATTGTCAAATAATGCATTCTCGATAACGCCGTCATCAATCATATCCCCAATATCAAGTCAGCAAACTTCACCCATGGAATTAGATTTTAATTGCAACTCTCATCTCTTAACCCAATCACAACTTCAAAATTCAATACAATCATCATCCAATTCATTATCATACTTTGTTACTCCCGATAAAGACACTACAATTTCATTACAAGATATAATAGATGGAACGAAGGTCATGCAGGAAATCTCAAAAGATTCGACGATTTTCGATTTAGGTTTGACCAATTGTGACATGGATCTCAATGAAAATTCAATTGAATGGTTACTTCAAGATAGTTGTCCGGAAATGTCGAAACCACTTGACACGTGTCAATCATTAACCGAAAAGGTAAGGTTTACATTCCCCCCTCTCTTTTTTTAGTCAAACGTATTAATGAAGGAATTCCCTTTTTTGATAAAAGGAACCTGTTGAGGAATGTCGTCGGGATATTGATGATTTGATAGAAGAACATATGAAGGAAATGAAAAAGTTCATTCATAATGAGATTTTATGTCAAGAGATATTAACAGAGCCATCGTGTTTTGAATTTCAAGATTTACCTCTTGACAATTTGGAGATTGAAACAGATTGTTCGTCGACGAGCTCGACATCAACAGCGGTATATCTTCAAGAAGGAATATGTCAAGAAGCTGATGGCTTATTATCAACAACGAACATGTTTATGCCGCAGGAAGACAATTTCTCATACGATGCATTAGCAATCGAAGAAATTCCAAATTTATTTTCAACAAATTTACTTGAAACTCATAAAGCAACCCATATAAATGATGAAATCTTTTTATATAATGATCTCTTAGGGTGCGACATGAAATTTGAAAGTTCTGATGAATTGATAAAATATCAACTTGACTATTTAAATTGAAGTTATTCAGTATAAAAAGAAAAAAGAAAAAACTTTGATAAAAGAAAATATTCCGATTAAGATGTAAACTTCAGGAATTCTAATAAGGTTGAATAAAACTTCCGTTGTTTACCTGGTTTAAGAGAATACTTGGGTTTTTTTTTTTTCGCTACATCTTTTTTTTTTAAGTCACCAAGTTTAGGCATTAAATTTGCTTAAAAATGTAATAACTTTTGTATAATTTTAATATTATAATCTATTGATACCTATTTTAACATTTATTTTTTGTAAATATTTTTCATTCATAGAATAAGTTGACAATAACAAGCGATAACAATAGAGTAATACTTTATTTACGTTAATTAATCGTCATAAAATTTTTTTTTTTTTTTAAATAAAACCTTTTCATATGATCAATCTAAAAAGTGTTAAGAGAAGAGTTTTGCATATCGTGATTGAGAATTGTTTTAACTCCTCGTAGAAATAATATGAATAATCCAAGTCTATTCAAAAAATTGAGAAATTTGCGCGCTTTCAAATTAAAATCCAATATGAAATAACATGGCTTGAAATGTATATTCCGGAGCCGTGAAAGAATTTTTTATAAAATTGATAATAGACGTTTCTTGTTGCCGTTGAATCAAATTGTTATCTGACAATCAAACGAACTGATTAGGGCATTATTGAACATAATAAACATTGAGAAAGAAATTGATGATTATTACAAAAATAATCATTAATTGGAATGGCGTTAAACCTCTTTACTTATTGCCAAAGACAGTTAGATGCTCAAGGATTGAAGTGATCCCCACATGCAGATGATCTTTTTTCAATAATTAATCATATATTTGTAATGTTTAATTTTAAATTTAAAAGGTGGGTGGTTATATCAGCTAGACAAAAAGAAATTAGGATATTTTATTTAAAACTTTTTTTTTTTATTTGATACCTTTTTGGTAAATTTGTAATTTTTTTTTTTTTTTTTTGATTTCCCCGACTTCTTTGATTAAATATGACAAAAAAAAATTTTTTCTTTGTACCATAATAAATAATTAGGTCATTGATTCAATAATTAATATTATTGCAATCGCATATAAATTCACGTGATTTGTCAGTTCTTAAAATGATCTCAACAATAACGAATGTATATGCATTAATATATTTAAGTATAAAAATAAAAAGTTTCTTTTTTCTTTAACTTAAATTTTCTTTTGCTTTCCCAAAATTGTTCAGATAAATGAAAGCAAAGAATAAATGTTAGTAATAAGTCGTCATACTTCTCCTAGATCATATAAAATATGCTATAGCAAAAGAAAGGAATGGGATTTGTTAGACTAATCAGTTGAACTCAATAAATGGGGATGCTAGTGTCCAATCTGAATAATCTGATAAAGGAGAAACCGCTTATAATCATCACACCCATATATAAATAAATAAATATATATATACAAAAAAAAATGTCTATGAATTATTTGATTTAAAAAAAAAAAAAGTTTCATCCATGAATAGCATGAATTGGTGCAGAGTTAGCCCATGTCAAAGGAACTACTAAATCACCGACATATTCAACTTCTATATGTTCAATAGCTTCATGCATTTCATCTATCGCTTTCGTCAGCTTTATAAAGAACAATAAGGAACAAATCAATAAATTAAATCCTTCGTTTTGAGAATAAAAGAAAGTTGTCCCAACCTACCCACTCCTGATCCTCTCGTGTAACTCCACCGCTACCCAACACGACATGTGGAGGTAAATCCGTCGCACCACCTTGTGCAGCAACCTGTTGAGATTGCAGTGACGTTGATTTTTTGTGACGCAATTTCGGTAATGTGTCACTCTTTTCTTGTATTTTTTGTAGGGTACTTGGATCAAGTCTAATTGAACCCATCAATTCTCTATAAAAAAAAAAAAAAAAAAAATTTCACAAAGTTAGCTTATAGGTTTGAAAATTGAAAAGACTCTCGTAAAAATATTAAATATACTTGTATTCATTCGCACGATCTATTGCCTCTTGTTGTTGTAAACGTTCAGTGGCATGAGTGTTTGATATATCAATAAAATTACTAAAAGGTAATTAAAATTATAATTAAAACTTATTTAAGAAATTAAGGACGTAGAATGAAGAATAAAATACAAACTCTGCCGTTTGCTGAACGATCTTTTGCAATGCTTCTTGTTCTATGGTGTGGTCAACAGCATCATCATAACGATAATTCATCCTCGCATGCCTAGATGTTTTGAAAATTTGTTAAATATTAGAATTATGTATAAAAATTAAATATTCATAAGAATGTTATCAACATACGAGGTATCATACGCAGTAGATCCTTCACCAGATAAAAGACGAGAACGTTCGTTCTGATGGTAAAAGAAAAGTTTTATTCAAAGTTATCATAAAATCACTACCTTTGAGAAAAAATCTAATGGAATTAAAAAGTAGGTAAAAAAAAAAAACCTTTGCATTATCGTCTTCGTCTTTGCTTCCACAACAACCCATTATAGTTTTATAAAATGGGGAAATGTGTTTATTAAAAATTAAGTATTAAAAATTATGAGAAAAAGATATTCTTTTTAGGAGTTGTTTCTTGCTTCGTTTACCAATTTTAATGGAAACAAGACAAAAACAAGCAAAAACTTTAAGAATATATGACAAAGTATTGAGGAAAAGATAAGAGAAAGTTATGTGTAAAATAAAAAAAAAATTCAATTGTTAATTAATTTAAAAACCCAGAAGGTTGTTCATGACAAATAAAAATTCACTACATCTGCAATTTATAGTTTTAATTCATAAATACACGTGATATGAGATGAGATTGTTACTCTAACTTTTTATAATTTTATGTAACATCTACTCAAACCGTGATTAGGATCTCACATGATCATTTTCGTTCGTTCATTCATTCGTTAATCTCCAGAAAGTGTCACCTGAATTTTCATCGCAGTTTTGAAAAACTTGTGATACTCTAATCATAACAAGATTTTGGCCACATCTAGAGATGGATAGATCAACCTAAATCCTTTAGATAAACAGATATCACTTCTAGTATTTTTTTTTTTTTCGAGGGAAAAATGTTTTTTTTTTGTGGGGGACCGATTCCCACGGGACTTCCAGCCATGATTTTAAATTGTCAAAGCTGATAAAAATTAATTTTTGGGGAAAAAAAATTTTTTAATTTGGATTGTTTTGGTTGTGGCTAAAAAAAAAGAGGTTATATGAACTAGTTTTGATATATGTTCTAACAATATAAAAAAAATTGATTATTGTGCAGGGTTTAAGTCTTTTATGGTTAAACGTAAATTCACCAAAACGAATTGAAAAAAAAACGTGGTTTTTTAAATGATGATCGGACCACGTGATTCATAGCAGATCGTAAATTATTTTGACATTAATATTAAATTTTCAAAAAGAGTTATGCCAATAGTTCAGTCTAATAAGTTGTTTGCGTGTGGATCAAATGGTAATGGACAACTCGGAATAGGTACGTTCGAAGATACTAACGTTCCTACAGCCTGCAAGTTTCTTATAGCGAATCAGGAACGTTACGTGAACTTGGAATCAACATTAGATAGTTTAGAGACCAAGCCAAAAATAATAACAGGTGGGGGGAATCACTCTGCCATTATAACGTCGTCTGGAGAATTATGGACGAGTGGATTAAATAATGATGGACAATGTGGTGTCGCATCAAAAGAAAATTCTGATATATTCAGGAAAATAGAAGTGTTTGACGAACATGAGATAAGTCGATGGAAATTCGTAAGTTGTGGATGGAATTTTAGTTTAGCTGTTGATAAAAATGGATACGTTTATTCATTCGGGAAAGGATCTTTTGGAGAGTTGGGATGTGGTGAGAATGTAAAAGAGACGGGTGGAAGAGGAATTAGAATAAAAGGTGTTGAGGGGGTGGAGAAAGTTGTCTGTGGATTAAGACACGTTGTATGTTTGAATAAGGAGGGAAATTGCTTCGGTTGGGGAAGCAACAAATTCGGACAATTAACAAATGTTGATAAAGAAAATGTAATTGTTGAAACGAATAATAAAAGCGTGCGTAGAAAGAAGAAAGAAAAATTATATTTTGAGCCTATTAAAATCTTTCATGATTTAGATCAAAGAGTGATAGATGTGGCTTGTGGACAGTATCATACAGTGTTGCTGACCCATGATGGGAAAATTTTTACTTTTGGGTTGAATAAATATGGTCAATTAGGATATGATTCACCAGTTAAAGTTCAATTTTCAGACATTCCTAAAAAAATCGAGCATGGATCAATTAGCAGAGTTAAAAGCGTACATTGTGGGTGGAATAATACTATTGTGATCTGTGATGATGGTAAATTGTTTATATGTGGCAGGAATGATCATGGACAGTGCGGAAAGGATAATCCCAAGAATGATGATGAACGAACGAATGTGACCGATTGGATCAACAATCACGTTCCTTTATACTATTTACCACAGCATTTGATATTAGATGATAAGTTCGAGATTGAGGAATGTGCGTGTGGATCAGAGCACTCTTTGATCGTTTCTAAACTAGGTGAATGTTTAAGCTGGGGATGGAATGAACACGGAAATTGTGGAGTTGGAGATAATGAAAACAGATGGCAGCCTATAAAAGTAAAGATTGATAATGCTACGGTTAAGATGGTAGGAGGAGGATGTGGAAATTCTTGGATTTGGTTACAAAACGTGAATATGTAACTTTTCGGTAGAGAAGGGTTGGAATCTAGAATTTTTAGCCTTTGTCATATGACTATCTAATGAGCCAATAAAAAGAGTTTTTGATCAAAAAATTTCCTTTCTATTGATAAGAACACATATAAATAAAATAATTGATCTAATCTAAAAGATGACATTAACCAAGTTTGACTAAGGTCGATCAAACTCGTTGAATTCTAGACCTTTTTTAAAACGATCTTTGATAATATTAAGGATGGGAAAACCTTTTTTTTTTTAAAACAATTAACAATATTAGTAATTCAATAAAACTTCAAAAATATATCTATTCAATACCTATTATACTTTCCATTAATAGATTCAAAGTTGTATTGATTTACCAAACTCTAAATATAATCTAATCCCAATAAGTAAATTCAAGATTTTCATTAATATTCACATATCTGATTGTAAAACATTACTCCGAATTATCAATAAAAATTTCAATAAAATAAAATAGTTTTACGCAATCAAACTAAATATAGAAACTTATTTGTATTCTCCGAACCTATTGTCTATAAATTATAAAATCCTATTTATAACTTTACTTAATTAAAAATCTTTTATTGAACCAATTGCATTGTGACAAAGAAGACATATATAATACATAAAAATTAATATTTAGTAAAAGCAAAATAATATATCAAAGTAACTGGTTTGGGTTTTTAAAGATATTATAAGAATATCCTCTATTCGACTTCCGCGAAAATTTTTTTTCCCAAAAAGTTATTCGTTTTTTTTTTTTTTTTTTTTTTTGTTATCAGAACAACCATTTTTTTAAAAAAAAGACACTCTAAAGAAAAAAAAAAGAGAGATTTCTCGTCCTTTTTAAAAAGCGCTCAAACCCAAAGTAAAATTAACCCCCAAAAAATATTTGTCCATAATGCGTCTTTGGCAACAATCGCATAGACCTCAAAATCCTTCGGTGGGAACTGATGTTGGAAACAATGGAAATTATGTACCTTCAACTCCTACTTCCCCCACACCTGTACCAGCTTCTGGACTTTTGCTCATCCGTGTTGTTGAAGCTCGTGGGATCTCTTTACCTCCCGGTATAAGACCTCCACAAATTCCACCACATTTTTCTTCTTCAACTCCAACAACTACAAGGGGTAACAGAGATAGTATGCAGAGGAAGCAATGCTGGTGGCTTCCTTATGTGGTACTAGAATTTGATAAAAATGAAATCTTGATCGATGCTTTAGGTGGAGAAGTTCAAAATCCAACTTGGCAATACCGAGCAAATTTGTGAGTATAAGAAGTAAAGGTTTATTATTATCTATAATTTTGTTTTTGATCTAGCATTATAATTGTAACTTATTGATCTGGTTTTGACATAGTGATGTTTCTCGTGAGTCTGATGTATCAGTACAAATTTACTTGCGTAAATCCACTCAAACTGGGCATCATACTAATGATATGGGAAACGACGTTTTCTTGGGTGGCGTAAAATTTGTACCTAGTTTTAATAATCCAAACGTAAGTGAATTAAAAAATTACTTTTTTTTTTTTTTTTTGTTTGAATGCCATAATCTCATTAAACCTTTTTTTTTAAAAAAAAAATAAAAAAAATCAAACAGAAAATGCATGAAAATTGGTTCCCTCTGCAAGGTGGAACGGGTAGCGTACATGTGCACGTTTGCTACAAGAAGGATCATGTAAATATACTCATTTTTCCTTTAATTTTGGATTGTTACCATTTCTTTTATTCTAAACTTTTTAACCTATCAATGCTATCTACTAGGCCAATATCCCCTTGACAATTGATGCGTTTGATTTATTAAAAGTCATTGGTAAAGGCAGCTTTGGCAAGGTATCATATTTTCACACTTAATTGTACTATTAATTAGACGACAAATACTCTTCTATTAACTGGAATCCTGCAGTTATCATTGTCGATTCTCAACTTTACATTCTTTTTAAATAAAATTCCATGATGGTTATACTCATCATATTTGTTTATTGACATGTTAGGTCATGCAAGTACGCAAACGAGACACCTCTCGAATCTATGCGCTAAAAACTATTCGCAAAGCTCATATCGTTTCTCGGTCTGAAGTTAATCATACGTTAGCAGAACGTACAGTTTTAGCACAAATTAATAATCCATTTATCGTACCGTTGAAATTCTCCTTTCAAAGCCCGGAAAAATTATATTTGGTACTTGCTTTTGTTAATGGTGGTGAATTGTTTCATCATTTACAGAGAGAAGGACGTTTTGATGAAGAGAGATCAAGATTTTATGCAGCTGAATTACTTTGTGCGTTGGAATGCTTACATGATTTCAATGTAGTTTACCGGTAAGTAGGTCTAGATAGATAAATAGTTTTTTTTAATTTTTTGAAACTCACTAACCTTAGTTTCTTTTTAACTTTTAATATCATTGGAACAACTTAAAATCATTTTTTTGATTATGATAACATTTCAAAATAATACTTTCGATATTAAAAGAGATCTAAAACCCGAAAACATTTTATTAGATTATTCAGGCCACATCGCTTTATGCGATTTTGGTCTTTGCAAATTAAATATGACTGAAACAGAAACGACCCATACTTTTTGCGGGACACCGGAATATCTTGCCCCTGAATTATTATTAGGACAAGGTTATACAAAAACAGTAGATTGGTGGACTTTGGGTGTCTTATTATTTGAAATGTTGACGGGTTTGCCACCATTTTATGATGAAAATACCAATGAAATGTACAGAAAAATTTTACAAGACGAATTGAGGTTCCCAGATGAAGTTGGGGGTGAAGCAAGAAGCTTACTAACTGGGGTTTGTATCTTTATTCTGAACTGGATACAAAATAATTTTAATACATAATGCATCATTATTATTAGTCACAACGTCTTTTATTAATATAATATTATTATTAAACAGCTATTAACTCGAGAACCCAACCAACGTCTTGGCAATAATGGCGCACAAGAAATAAAGGATCACCCATTCTTTTCCTCAATTGATTGGAGAAGATTGATGCAGAAGAAAGTACAGCCACCGTTTAAACCCAGTGTGGTATGTAACAATAATGAAATTCTCATTTTGGATTAGTATTAATATTAAATATAAATTTCACTTCCACTAGGAATCCGCCATCGATACGTCAAATTTTGATGAGGAATTTACCTCAGAGACTCCCCTAGATTCTTATGTAAATGAGCCGCATCTTTCAGAAACCGTACAGCAGCAATTCGTCGGTTTCACTTTTAATCCTGCTCATGACGGATTAATGAGTGGAAGTATGGCAAATTCAGTACAAGATCTTTAAAAATTCTTCAGGTTTTCAAAAACCTAAGAAGAAAAAAAAAAATTCTACACGACATTTTCGTTTTATTTGATTTCTAAAACGTAAAAAAGGTTGTGATTCCAATTGGTAAGGTCGGAAAGATCCATGTGTTGTGTTTATATATTCTTTACCCTTTTTTTCTCGTTTTATATTTGTTAGCTCTTTTTTTTTCAATTTGTGTTTATATATCTTTCTTTTCTTTATTCATTTCTCATGAGATGTGGAATTTTTGGCGAAAGAAAAAATTCTTTTTTTTAAAAAAACATCATCTGTTGTATTCTTGATTCTTCTCGTTATTATATGAACATATATGGTGTAAAAATGCCACATCGTTCTTTTTATCACTATTTTTTCATAAAACACATGTATCACAACCAATTTTTTTTTATATCTATATATATAGGTCTCATTTTTGCTTGTATTTTACTGTAGACCCTGATACATCATCATCACTTTCTTCACCCATAACCATTCCGGTCGAAAGATTTTTTTTTAGTAAATCGATCATTCCCGTTTATTTCTTATTTATATAAATATTTTTTTTTTTTCGTCGGTTTTTTTTTTTTTTCTTTTTTTTTTTTTTTTTTTTTTTTTTTTTTTTTTTTTTTTTTTTTTTTTTTTTTTTTTTTTT